TTTTACACTATCGTGTTTGGTCATTATGAACATTCGTATGAACCTTTTACCAATCCGTATTCCTTGTTGTCGTTGTCCCATAAATTAACTTGATTTGTTGATATTGTACAAATATGTTGGAGGCTATGTATATTAGAGTGAAGCCTGATGAGATGAAATTGAAAACAACATTGTTCGCTCACATGTCTCTTTATGATTTGCTCTTTGTAGGAAAACTGACAGGCCTTGAAGGATCTCATAGATAGTATCATCTGACTTATACGTAGTAGGTGCGTATGTGTAGACTACATATATGTACTGGCAGGTGCGATGGAATTTCCCAGTTCTGACAGATTCAGTCAGTCAGGAAGCACAAATAGTGTTATCGACTGGTATCCACTGGAGAGGTGTGCTTTCTACTTTATAACGTGATACAAAACCCAAACCTGAGTGCACGAGAGCTAGCCATCAAATGTACCGATGCTGGGTTAAGTGAATCTTGCAGACTAACCGTACTGCTCAGATAAGGTCAAGTGCACAACTAAGACTGGATCTTGTGAGTTTCAGCAAGACCCTACATCCATAGATCGATATTCCAGTTTGACAAAATGCTATCTTATTTGAAATAGTGCTCATATGTTGGACCTGGCCTGTATATTCTACCTTGCATAAAACAATGACCCAACGACCTATGCTGGTGGAGCACTAGAAATGTCTTTTAGATAAAGGTAAGATGGGAAGCAGTTACCGTTGTAGTTCAAATTACTACATTGTAATGAGGACCTGACGGCGTAATTGTACCGCTAGACAGCAGTAAGGTCTTTCCCTTAGATGACAAGCAGTGTCATGTTGATGCCGCCTTTCAAATGATAGGAAGGGTTAGAAAATATTGGCCCTAAAAATAACAAACGGTAACCTGCGTCAAAGTCTTCTGCTCACGGGCACATATGTCCTGTCTATCCGGCGTTACAATAAAAGAATCTTAAAATAACCAATAAAATGCTGTGACAGGCATCCAGCACATGTTCTGTGAGCTTTGCGGTTACACAAATCTTTTCCTCTTACAAATACCTTAGAATAAAATAGCTCTTCACGGTGTGGACATCCGAGATGTGTCAAACATTCACACGCTTTCAGTGGTAAACAAGACCTAATCAAACATAACCTAGCCTCCTAGGCATTCGCTTCTTTTTCCCTTCGTCTCCTGACATTATTATCAAGTACATTACACCTTACCGAACGTCTCCTTCAGCAACGATTGTCAACGATCAAAGCAATCGAAACCTCATTCCTACTCTTCTAAAACCATGCCATCGATATCACCTAGGAGCTTACAACGCCCCATTATTCATATTTGTCCCTTGGGTTCCTAGCGGAACGTAGGGCTTCAGTAGCACGTCTCCATTTCACTTTCTTCTCTCCAGTCTTTTCAACTTGGCTCCACGACTGCCCATAAGCTTTCATTTCTCCCTCACATGATCTCCATGTCACCCTCACCTCGGACGCCCAACTCGTTGTTTCCCCTTTGGATTCCACTCGAGTGCCTGGTCTGACGCGTGATGTCCCGAATGGTCTTCTCAGTGTATGCCCAATTCATCTCCACTTCCTTCTGCATATCTGTTGGGCGATGGGTTCTTGTTTGGTCAGGCTAGAGTTCCTCCTTGTCTAGTTTTTCTAGCCATCTGATCTTCAGCGTCGAGCGTAGGCAGCTGTTGATGAATGTCTGTAGTTTGTTGGAAATGCTTTTCGTAACGCGCCAAGCTTCCGAACCATGTGTAAGCAGACTTGGCTGAATTAGTGTTGAAAATCCGGACCTTCTTCTTTGTGCTGAGTACAGTAGATCTCCGCACTGATTTCAGATTAATGAAGGCCTGTCTTGCTTTCCCGATCCTGACTTTGATGTCCTCATGTGTCACTGCCTGTAGTTGAAACGATGCCGCTTAGGTAGGTGAAAGAGACTACTACCTCTAGGTTCCTCTCGCTGATGGTGATCGGTACCTGCTGTTGTTGGTTGGGTATCTTCATCACCCGTCTTCTCTACGTTCACCTGAAGGAAGTCCTGTCTTCGCTGCCTCGCCTCTCCTGTCAACTTGTTGGTTTTCACCTGTAGATCTTCAAGTTTGTGTGACATTAAACACAAGTCATCGGCGAAATCTAAATCTTCTAGGTTCTTTCCCACGGTCCATCGTATCCCCTTCTTCTCACAGCTCCTCACTGTCTGTTGCATGATCCAGTCCAGTCGACCACAATCAGGAAGATCATGGGTGATAGTAGACAGCCTTATCTTACTCCTATCTTCACTCCAAAGGCGTTGCAGAACTTTCCTTTGTGAATCACTTGGCATGTGGCGTCTTCATATAGTTGTTGAATGAGGTTGATAAACTGTTATGGTATTCCATAGTGTTGAAGCACTTTCCAAATTACTTCTCGGTCAACGCTAGTCTAGGGCCCTTGCGAAATCGATGGAGTTGAGGTAGGGAGTTGACTGCTATTCTACGCTCTGTTCGATTTCAACGTATAAACTCAAAGCCAAATCGAATAGCAAGCATCACTCGCCCGTACCCTGGGATCTTTAGGCGTAGATTTATGCTGTCCCTGAGACAAGAATAGAGAAACCAAGAGTAGTTATTAAATTAACCTCACCTAGCCATAGTAGTGAACCTTCAAAATTCACTTTACGAGTATCCAGATACCCAGTGACTAGCTCTTGATGACCCACCGGTGTAGACACAGTATTGAGCTGTAGGGCTTCTCGCCTGGATACCAGCCAACAACTGTCTGTGTACTGTTTATTGAACGGATACGTAAGGACTAGAAGACGCCAATCTATAACCTCTGCCTACGCATCCACAAAGTGCAGTTCGAGGGATGCAAATGATGAATTTTATGAGCTGTTAGATTCCTACAGAAACCAAAACGTCTCCATGTAGTCATAATGGCAGGTGACTGACATTAATGTTCAAGTAGGGCAGCTGAGCGAACTGGAAAGGCATCGAAGGGACACCACGGAATCCCATGCCAAAGAACCCACAAAGGCACTCGTCTGTTGCGATTTCGCCCCGACAACTACATGTGTCTGGATGGGACTAAATCTATGACTAGCTATAGATACTGTATCATATGGCGCCCACCAACATCGAACCAACAATGAACATAGACAGGTCATATTCCTACAAGCCATCGTTGGGGAGGATTGCCTCTCTTTCTGGAGAACTAGTTTCGATTCCGATCAGACGCTAGTACAGGTTCATGTATCGTTGCGTCTTACTGTCGGCAGTAAACAATGATAGTGAGGCCTTTCAATGGTCGATTGGAAGACGAGAACGTCGTCCGAATTTCGAGAAGAGATAGCTAAGTGTTTACCTTAACATAATAGCACTATTCAATCTGAAGAAACCTGGAGTGATATCAAGTCCGATGTATAAACAGCGATAAACACAGTTGGTAACCTACACATAAAGGTTAGGAAACGTCATTAGACCTCCGCAACATCGTCATGCAAATGAATTGATGGGAGAAGACTGATTCCAGCTAGCTCCGGCCACGACGGAAAGTGAAAGCAACTTAAAACTACTCTGAACAAGACTCTACGCGTCGACCACCAGCAGTGACGGGTGGCGAAAGAGGGAGAGATGAAGAAGGCATCGGCGGTGGGTAACACATTCGGCACCTAATAAGGCTTATTAGGGATACCGGCAAGCAAAAGGCGACGGTGAGTGGAAACACTAGGGAAGAGGATGGAGCGCCGATAAGCTCCCACGACAGGCGGGTCGAACAATGGACAGAACGTTCTGAACCGTAGTTCAACTGGCTTTCGGTAACGCTTCAGTTGCCCAACATCCAGCCTAGACCAGGTTGGGACGTACATATCGGTCCTCCATATGGGTTGGTCACTGACGAAATACCAGCTTGGACACAAAGGCCTGGTTGGCATTTGCAAACTTGCGTTCTCTATGACGCCGGCTGTCAAGATATCTGACTATCCATCAAAGGGAAAGTATGCTGTACTGCAGTCCGCCCTGTCCTATTGTACGGCTGTGAGACATGGTCATTAAAAGTAGAAGACACGCAGCGATTACTAGGTTTTGATCAGATTTCTTCGTAACATTGCTCGCGCATGGTGAAACCACTATGTGAGCAATGTTAAGGTCAGGTGAATCGTACTAAACGAGACAGGCGAGTCGATTAATGAAGTTGTCTACCTTAGTCGACTGAGATAGCCTGGATATGTACTGAGGATGCCGAGCGACCACCAACCTCGATGTGCCATGCTAGGGCAAGTTGGACTAGGATGGAAGAGAGTTGAGGATGATTAGACCAAGACCTGGTACCAATTGATCAAGTTCCTGACAGACGATTTGCTTGCTTAGATAGTCAACAATCGTTGTTGGACGGGAAGTTAAGAAAACCACAAGGAACCTATTAATACTAAGTGAAGGTAAGATAGGAGATAAGAGTGAGGTTATGATTAGTTGGGTTTGGTATGCAGTCGGTAGCGAGCATGTAGTAAATCCCAGCTGCTAAAAGCGAAAGCAGTTTCATAATAACGATTAGCGACAAGTCTCAGTGTCTCTTGTGTTCGGTCACACAGGGACTTCCTCGGAGTTTTGGACTTAGACTTGATAGCGCTACCGATGGACACGAGAAACCACACCGCCTTAATTAGAATATAACAAGGTAGGGAGATGATGCTGCTTCAATCTCTAACCATTCCTCACAGGGAAGGCAGCAACAGCACACTGGCCACACGTGATCCCATATATATATATATATATATATATATATATATATATATATATATATATATATATATATATATATATATATATATATGAAGAGAGCAGTGTGGGAATTCAAACATCGACAGTGTGGCGTTAGTGATCTTTCTAAACTGCAAACCGGGGAATAGAAATCAATGTGTAGCAAACAGTGCAGTTACCTTACTGGACGTCGAAGCGCTTTTCTGATGCGCATACCAACTGGTATCCAAAAGGTAAGTCTAACCAAATAAAAATCCAAGTCGATTCAAAAACGTTATATTGACAAGATAACAGGAGAGTGTTTTCATCATGGCAATCTAAAATATTTACACAATCATCGTAAGACATGTATGACGGCTACAGAAGCTAGTGTTCGAAAAGAAAAGTGAACCAAACGGGATTGTCACTAAAGCAAAACCGACCTTCCGTCTAGTTTTCTCGGTGCAGAAAACCAGAAAAAAAACTCATTCCCAGTAGGAATTAATTAGGAAAAAGTTATTGTTTCTCTTGTTTTGCAGATTCATCACCCTGGGTGTCCGCTTTTGTCCCTTGCTCGCCAGCCATCTATATTACACAAACGAAGTGAGAAACTACTGACAACTCACCTTTCTATATGCAACTTCAAACAGCTTCAGAGACGCTTGCTGAAGTTCGTTGGTAGCTTCTCTAATACTTTCAGCAGTTTCATTGTCCTTGTTACTCAGTGTGTTTCTCAGCTTATCAATGAGAACATTGAGCTTTTCTCTCTGTGGATGAAACAAGAAATAATTACATGCTGAGTTAGGAATAAGTTTCAGAACTAGCTTTCAGAACAAAAAACGAGTGGTATTCTTCGTGAGAAATCTTTAGAAAATTATTCGACTGTTACCACACGATTTTCGGTGACCTGGATAAGAGGTGTGCACACTTACTACTATGTTCGACAAGTGCCCTAACGTAACAAACTAAGTACAAAAAATTCCGTCTTTCTCTTTTACGTCTTTTCCGGAAAGGGGTTAGCTGGGGCTTGCATTCAAAAGAATAAACCTTATACATTCAGGTTAAAGATGAAGTGAGCCGGTTGATGTCTAAACAGATTGCAATAATTCACGTACGTTTGCCAATACGTTGGATTAACTATCACCAGTGATCTATTCATTGATGCACCTCAACCCGGTTCATGAATATACAGATATGAACCAAACATGTTGCGAAGACATACGAAGACACGTAGTTGTCCAGATCAAAGCTGCTAGTGATATTTGAAACTGGGACTCATTGCTTAAGAGTCTACAGCTTAAGCTAATAGGTTATATCTCAGGTTACCACTGCTCGGATTTTAATGAATTCAGATCATTTCGGTGAATATTTCAAGGAGCCCCAAGTAATCTACTTTGAAGTCTTAGAGGATCGAATTAACAGCTTTCTGGAGAGCCCTTGAATATGCTTAGTGAGATGCATACCGTCACAATAGTCTTGAAGTTACATGACGAACCTCTCCTACCTATTTAAGCCTAGACAATAGTCGGCTTTCAATAAAGTTTCGCAGTCTATCAAATGATTTACTGCTGGGTTACTGAGATGCATTCTCACTGTCGTAAGGGGCAAAGGTTAGTTTACTTGAGTATAAAAGTTAAACAAACTGTGCACTTCTTGGCTATGATTAATATAGGATCGTTTCAGTGATGCCTAGCTGACACGATGCGTAAGGATGGGCACAAGACAAGGACTGTTTGTACACTTTAAGTGAAACGTTACTATGTGCATCTCTTATGACGCTAAGATTTTCAACAGTTGCTCACAATTTACCTAAAAATGGATGAACTGACAACCAGTCAGTTGCCGACTAATGCGTACTTAGTTTGAATGTGAGATACAGGATGATTTCGAAGTAACTTCGTCTTCCGAAAAAAATCTACAGCGACTTGACAAAATCTATCTTACGCTATCTCAGAAGTGAAACGGGACATAAGGAGTAATGAAGCTTGACCGATCAGACCAAAACCATCAATGTGAAGAAAATACTTCGCCATTCATGAGGGGGCCTGATTATGCAGTCTTTATAGCATACCTGCTCAGACTCAGATCACTTTCGTTCGAGAAAATGTCTGGACCTAAAATCAGACAAAGAGCTTGGTTTGAAGATGAGCATTTTTCACAACACAGAAACCCACCAAGACATTACTGTAAACGAAAAGGTAGAATGTAATCAGCTTAGTAAGTCTGAGGTCCAGTGAAGCCTAAAAACTTATTTTAAGTGACTACCACAAAGAACATCCAACAACAGGAAGTAGTTGAAGTTACGAACGACAGCACAGGTGGTGGCAATAACCGGGAGCCATTCAAGATTAAGCTATGCCAGCCAATCTATTACTTTTTGTTACAAACGTGTGCCACACCTGGAACTGTAGGTAAACCTTGAAGATGACGAATAAGCGGGACAGAAGCTTTGACCTCAAGGCCCGAAGTGTGGTGTTCAAAATAAGAGTCTAGATGGGAACAGTGACCGTAGAAATTCCTGTAGTGCATATGTCAACCACTTCAGTCCATAAAAAGGAGAGGGAACTCCCACTGGCACCCAATACATCGTTTTCAGATTTCGAAGGGTGTTACTGTAGTTTTGCGCATTATAGCGTTTAGGGTCAAGTAGCATTGCTATCAGAATTAAACATAACCAACGAATTCTGTTGAGGACCCCGTTATATTCTTCCTTCGCCGATCAGCACACAAAAAGATTAAGAATTATTGAGATGAGATGTACTAACACACGAAGCCAATGACCTTTCTTTTAAGCACTAGAAGCTACTTCACGAAGTTGTTTGTGGTGGAGGGGGGTCAGAGACACGCCTAAGTAGGATCTTTGTGCTCACTTAGTACCTAATCACCACTCGTTATACAATGTAATTCAAACAATTGAGATAGATGACGTGACCACAATAAAAAGCCACATATACAAACCGATCATGTCAACGTACTTCATCTGCTGGTATCTGATCTTTGTATTCATTGATCTTCGATTCTGTATCATGGACAATGCCCTCGGCTTGATTTACTGCCTCCACGAGATCCCTACGTTTTTTGTCCACCTCCGCGTATTGTTCAGCACTACGCACCATGTTCTCGATCTCGTCTTTACTTAACCCACCACCAGAACGAATCACTATCTGCTGCTCTTTGCCAGTTCCTTTATCACGTGCAGCTACGTTGACAATCCCGTTGGCGTCAATATCAAAAGTAACCTCGATCTGAGGAATACCACGTGGTGCAGGGGGGATTCCAACCTGTAAAAAAAAGGAAAATCAGGTTAGCCAAACTGTGACAACATTAAACCATAAAACTAGGACGGTAGAACTCACCAGAGAAAACTGACCAAGTAGCTTGTTATCACTAGCCATCTCGCGTTCACCCTGATACACCTTAATCTCCACCTGTGTTTGACCATCAGCAGCCGTAGAGAAAACCTGTGATTTCTTTGTAGGGATAGTGGTATTCCGACCAATAAGTTTTGTCATGACACCACCCAGAGTTTCTATTCCTAGCGATAGTGGAGTCACGTCAAGTAGCAGAACGTCGGTGACATCGCCAGCTAGGACACCTCCTTGTATTGCTGCCCCCATTGCAACAGCCTCATCTGGATTAACACTTTTGCTTGGTGCCTTACCAAAAGTCTTCTCAACCGTTTCTTGGACCTGGAGAGTTGATTCACTATAGAAGATATCTTACCTTAGGCATCCGTGTCATCCCACCAACTAAAATGATTTCACCGATATCAGAAGCTTTGACATCAGCATCTTTCAACGCCTTCTTGCAGGGCTCGATGGTCCTTTTGATGAGATGTTCTACCAAATGTTCTAACTTCGCTCGAGTTAACTTCAGATGCATGTGCTTAGGACCAGACTGATCCATAGTCAGATATGGCAAATTGATGTCAGTTTGTAGTGACGATGAGAGCTCGATCTTGGCTTTTTCCGCGGCCTCCTTGACTCTCTGAAGAGCCATAGGGTCTTTGGTGACATCTATACCTTGCTACAGAAATCAGATTTGACAAGCAATTACCTCTCGTTGAAACTCTTTGACCAAAAAGCGGAGAAGTTCATTGTCAAAATCTTCGCCCCCCAAGAATGTATCTCCATTCGTGGACTTGACCTCGAACACTCCCTTCTGGATCTCTAATACCGAGATGTCAAAAGTGCCACCTCCAAGATCATAAACAGCTATCCTGAGCAAAATTTAAATAATGTATGAGAATATTACGTTTTGTCGTCTGTGCGATCAAGACCATAAGCAAGAGCTGCAGCTGTGGGCTCGTTGATAACTCGCAATACTTCCATCCCCGCAATTTTCCCAGCATCTTTCGTCGCCTATCAAGATAAGATAACTGTTAGACTCATACCTGTCGTTGAGAATCGTTGAAATAAGCAGGGACCGTAATTACGACACTCTTCACCTTGGTGCCTAAGTACGACTCTGAATACTGGATTAGCGTACATAATATGAAACAAACCAGCGGTCTCTTTCATCTTCATCAATACAAACGCACCAATTTGACTAGGTGAATACGCCTTGCCATGAGCTTCTAACCATGCATCACCATTAGATGCCTTAATTATTTTGAATGACGAGTTTTTCATGTCTTTCTGAACCTCAGGGTCTTCAAATCGTCTCCCTATGAGGCGTTTGGTGGCGGAAAACGTGTTTGCCGAATTTGTGACAGCCTGCCTCTTGGCAGGAGCACCCACAAGTCTTTCACCATCACTTGTGAATGCTACTACAGATGGAGTGGTCCGGCTTCCCTCAGAGTTTTCCAGTACCTTGGGTTGCTTTCCTTCCATAACCGCAACACACGAGTTTGTTGTTCCCAAATCGATACCGACGACATATCCTTTAGGAACAGATGAATAAAGACAGCACAGCGACTTAAGGTGTGGGAACTAAATAGTAAAAACTAGTGTGTGCACACGTACATACCTTCATTAACTCCCTTCTTGGCATAATAAAACGCGACATATTCCTACACACAAACTCGTGAATAATAGTGCAGTGCGCGACTACTAACCGTAGAGCGTAGTAAAACAATAGCCAATGGCATTGGAAAAGATCTAACTTGTACAAGTTCCAGATTTTCAGTTCTGACTATGACTCATATCTTTCTCGTGCCTCGCATCTTTGTGAGGTTCTCAGGTTTCACGAGCAGACGTCTGTTCCTAACTCAATGAGTCCCTTTTTCACTTCACTATTTTAGTAACAAAAATTTCAGAATAAGTGCGGCATTTAACTTCTTGTCACCCAGAAAAAAGTGAACAGGTGATACTACTGGAATGCCGTTATCCATAGGTTCTTAGATGGCTTGGCTCGTTCGTATTTCTGTGGGAAAAACGGATTTCCAGATGCAGACCATACGATCACGTCATATTTTACTGTCCACCAACATTTTCACACGTGCCCACGTTTAAAAGAAGAGCTACATCAGATTGCCTGTCCCCCGCATCACTTCTTCAGACGCCAGGTGCTCGAATTAGACCTCCCAGTTTCAAATCAGATCATTATTATTATTTATCCCTTTGGTTCCTAGCGGAACGTAGGGCTTCAGTAGCACGTCTCCATTTCACTTTCTTCTCTCCAGTCTTTTCAACTTGGCTCCACGACTGCCCATAAGCTTTCATTTCTCCCTCACATGATCTCCATGTCACCCTCACCTCGGACGCCCAACTCGTTGTTTCCCCTTTGGATTCCACTCGAGTGCCTGGTCTGACGCGTGATGTCCCGAATGGTCTTCTCAGTGTATGCCCAATTCATCTCCACTTCCTTCTGCATATCTGTTGGGCGATGGGTTCTTGTTTGGTCAGGCTAGAGTTCCTCCTTGTCTAGTTTTTCTAGCCATCTGATCTTCAGCGTCGAGCGTAGGCAGCTGTTGATGAATGTCTGTAGTTTGTTGGAAATGCTTTTCGTAACGCGCCAAGCTTCCGAACCATGTGTAAGCAGACTTGGCTGAATTAGTGTTGAAAATCCGGACCTTCTTCTTTGTGCTGAGTACAGTAGATCTCCGCACTGATTTCAGATTAATGAAGGCCTGTCTTGCTTTCCCGATCCTGACTTTGATGTCCTCATGTGTCACTGCCTGTAGTTGAAACGATGCCGCTTAGGTAGGTGAAAGAGACTACTACCTCTAGGTTCCTCTCGCTGATGGTGATCGGTACCTGCTGTTGTTGGTTGGGTATCTTCATCACCCGTCTTCTCTACGTTCACCTGAAGGAAGTCCTGTCTTCGCTGCCTCGCCTCTCCTGTCAACTTGTTGGTTTTCACCTGTAGATCTTCAAGTTTGTGTGACATTAAACACAAGTCATCGGCGAAATCTAAATCTTCTAGGTTCTTTCCCACGGTCCATCGTATCCCCTTCTTCTCACAGCTCCTCACTGTCTGTTGCATGATCCAGTCCAGTCGACCACAATCAGGAAGATCATGGGTGATAGTAGACAGCCTTATCTTACTCCTATCTTCACTCCAAAGGCGTTGCAGAACTTTCCTTTGTGAATCACTTGGCATGTGGCGTCTTCATATAGTTGTTGAATGAGGTTGATAAACTGTTATGGTATTCCATAGTGTTGAAGCACTTTCCAAATTACTTCTCGGTCAACGCTAGTCTAGGGCCCTTGCGAAATCGATGGAGTTGAGGTAGGGAGTTGACTGCTATTCTACGCTCTGTTCGATTTCAACGTATAAACTCAAAGCCAAATCGAATAGCAAGCATCACTCGCCCGTACCCTGGGATCTTTAGGCGTAGATTTATGCTGTCCCTGAGACAAGAATAGAGAAACCAAGAGTAGTTATTAAATTAACCTCACCTAGCCATAGTAGTGAACCTTCAAAATTCACTTTACGAGTATCCAGATACCCAGTGACTAGCTCTTGATGACCCACCGGTGTAGACACAGTATTGAGCTGTAGGGCTTCTCGCCTGGATACCAGCCAACAACTGTCTGTGTACTGTTTATTGAACGGATACGTAAGGACTAGAAGACGCCAATCTATAACCTCTGCCTACGCATCCACAAAGTGCAGTTCGAGGGATGCAAATGATGAATTTTATGAGCTGTTAGATTCCTACAGAAACCAAAACGTCTCCATGTAGTCATAATGGCAGGTGACTGACATTAATGTTCAAGTAGGGCAGCTGAGCGAACTGGAAAGGCATCGAAGGGACACCACGGAATCCCATGCCAAAGAACCCACAAAGGCACTCGTCTGTTGCGATTTCGCCCCGACAACTACATGTGTCTGGATGGGACTAAATCTATGACTAGCTATAGATACTGTATCATATGGCGCCCACCAACATCGAACCAACAATGAACATAGACAGGTCATATTCCTACAAGCCATCGTTGGGGAGGATTGCCTCTCTTTCTGGAGAACTAGTTTCGATTCCGATCAGACGCTAGTACAGGTTCATGTATCGTTGCGTCTTACTGTCGGCAGTAAACAATGATAGTGAGGCCTTTCAATGGTCGATTGGAAGACGAGAACGTCGTCCAAATTTCGAGAAGAGATAGCTAAGTGTTTACCTTAACATAATAGCACTATTCAATCTGAAGAAACCTGGAGTGATATCAAGTCCGATGTATAAACAGCGATAAACACAGTTGGTAACCTACACATAAAGGTTAGGAAACGTCATTAGACCTCCGCAACATCGTCATGCAAATGAATTGATGGGAGAAGACTGATTCCAGCTAGCTCCGGCCACGACGGAAAGTGAAAGCAACTTAAAACTACTCTGAACAAGACTCTACGCGTCGACCACCAGCAGTGACGGGTGGCGAAAGAGGGAGAGATGAAGAAGGCATCGGCGGTGGGTAACACATTCGGCACCTAATAAGGCTTATTAGGGATACCGGCAAGCAAAAGGCGACGGTGAGTGGAATGATAATGCGTTGCGTAGAGTTGCAATTTGATCCGCACATGATTTGCACTTGCTGAATCGAGCCAGTCAGCTTGTTCCGGTCTTTATTTTGAATCCAGAGCATCGTTTATTCCCTTCGAGTGATGCGGCATAATTTTTGCATCGGGTGAATAGGAGCATGATTCCCCGCCAATTCTTGCAGAGACCTGGTTCGCCTGTCTTTGCGGGTTTGACAAGGTAGTGCTTCTTCCAGTCAGTGGGTAGGTACCTTTTCTTTTTTTAAACTTTCTTCAACAGTGTTATGTGCTTGTCCGCCGTTGTCTCTGAATCGGTTCTCAGCACTTCTGGCGGAATTCCATCTGGCACTGCTGCTTTCCTGGATTTCAGCAACTTTGCGTCTTTCAGGACCTCACTTCCTCTCTTATCGGGGGACTTGTGTCCACCGATATTTCTGTGGCTGGGCCACCGGCGGTATTTCCAGACGAGTTGCGGTAGTGGTGATGGTCGATTCAAGAGCTTTTTGAAGCGGTCAGCCCATCGTTTCCTTTCTTTCTCCTCTTTGGTAACTAGGTTTCCTTCGCCGTCTTTGATTGGTTTCATTTGAGTTGATCGCTTCTCAGATATTAACCTGGTTATTTGACGTAGTGTTGTCAGGTCGAAGTGCACGCTCACCTGCATTAATATGCATCAGCCACTTTTCTGACCGCGTAAACAAGCTGTTTAGATCCTCCTGAAGCCCACGTATATCCTCGTCAGTCCTAATTTCCGGCCGGATTTTTACATCGTCAGCCTAGAGAACCACGAGGGATTTCGTAATATTTGGGAGCTCATTTACGTGTAGGAGAAACAGCAGGGGACCCAGGACTGTATCTCTAGGCAACCAAATCACTATCGACTTCCAAGAGGAGGGTTGAGGGTTGATCCTCACTCTTTGTCTCCTACTAACGAGAAACTCTCTTATCCATGCGAGCAAACTGCCAGTGATTCCAGATTTTCTAGTTTCCCGAGCAACCCGGAATGAGGTACCTTGCCGAGCGCCCCACCAAAGTCTATGAGGATGACATCTACGGGTATCCTCCCATCTTTAAACTTGACCAAACTTTCTTTGGCAGTAAGGAGGTTCTTCAAGCAAGAGAAATTTCCACGAAAGCTATGCTGCAAACGAGATAGTAGGGTGTTTCTCTCTAAGTGGACTGTGATTGCTCCTTCTGGAATTTTTATCGGTCTGTAATTCTGTGGGTGCTGCCTAGAACCTGCACTATATATGGGCCCGACCACGGCACCCCTTTAGTTGTGAGGGGAGTGTACCTTCACCAAGGGACAGTATAAATACAGCTACCAATGAGCTGGCTACATAGAGCGCGAGCCCTCTGAACAGTCTTGGGTCCAGCCCATCCGGTCCCACCGATTTTTCCACGTTAAGATTACGTTATGTCCGAAACGTGTCATTGCGATCGCTATCCACAGGGTTTGTTCTGTTGGGTGTCAATGCCTCTACTGTTGAATAAGTGTCCGTAGAAGGTTCCTGCTTACAGACCTCAGCAAAATATCCAGCCATAGCTTCCACTTTTTCCCCACCTTCTCTAATTAAACAGTCAGTTACTGTCCCACTGATTGGGGCGGGCACATCATGATATATCTTATTTTTATAGTTCATGTAAGAAAGTGACCTTCCTGGAATTTACAATACAGCCTGGACAAGACGTGTTCCAAAGTGTATTTGAGACCGGCGGATAGCAGCGATACATTTATTTCAAGCTCGTTTTTAATGCTTCATCACTGCGAGAGTACCGAGGTAGGCAACAAGACTTCAACACCTTTCCTTGTATCGTAGCGAGATTAGAATTTTTTGGTTTATCCGCTGATGGCAATGTTTCCGTCTTCTCGGAACAGTCCATGGAATGAACGGTTGGGTCACTCGTACATATAACTATTTGAAGGAGTGCCACGCATCTTCAACTGAGACTTCCGGATTGACAGTCCGGTTCTCCGAAGAGGCTGCCAGTCTGATAGCTCCCATATTCGCTATCCTTGTCTTGGGTCTAGCTTGGGCACCGACCTAGCACGAGGCATCTGCTGTGAATCGGATGATCACAGCGTGATCTCTTTTATCAAGAGATGCTAGGTGCCGGTTGAAGCATACATTATCG